ACGATTGCGGTGGTAAAGGCGACGACGTTGGAGTCGTCGGGGGTGTCAGAATCCGCCACAGCTCCTCTGCCCTCCTCAGGTATGGCAGCAACCAGGGCTGAGAAAATAAGAACAAAGGAAACACCCAAGGGAGACATGCAGCCATGCAACAATACGCAAACAAGCTAAGTCTTACTTGGTTTGAAAGAGGTCATTCGAGGAATGCGCGATCTAACGGTTGCAAATCCATCATTTATTTCGTTGATTGAGGTTGCATGCAAAACGACTGGCTTAGGAGTTAAGTCCTTCATCTCAATTTCCTCAATTTTAGATTTTGGTTTAATATCACTTTTACGTGATTTCGGACAATACTGTTAGTATAGAATAGTTGCAAGAAAGGATCATGCAAAGGAAACGGTTACATCTATCAAACAGGGTGCAAAGAAAACCGAAAAGTACCTTTTTCCTTAAGCAGTGCACCAACCATCCGGTAGCCAAACCAAAAACCGTCAGACTCAAACCACTTATCAGTCCGACAGCCCAATTAGAAAGGACTTCAGTAGTTATTGATGCGCCCAAGACCGCTTTTCCTTCAACAACAGTCAGCGTAATATTCGCCTTTTCCCCAGAAAAAAGAGTCGTCTCAGAGTTGTCCGAAAAATTGTTCAAGACCGAGAGTAGAATGGAAGGCTTCACCGTTGCTGATATAACGAAAGAAATAATTAATTACGACCAACAAAACGTTTCTAGAAATCCCTTACTGGGGACAGTCGTAGTTTTTACTTCTATTGTAGACACCGGCAGCGGAGACTTGCCAGTATCTGCAGTAGTCGAGGATGGATTGGCAGGCGTCGACATGACCACCGAAGCTGTAGATGTCGCCTCCACCGACGCCGTCGTCTCCCCTGACGTCAAGGTTGCAGCCGACGACGACTGAGTCACCTCTGCCGACATCGGGGCAAACTCGGTGGTAGGAACAGTGGTTTGTTCATACCCAACACATAACTCGACGGGATCCACGGCCGAAGCCTTGAAAATCCCTTCGCATCTCGTCGGACGAAGCAACTCCACTTTCTGGACAAATTCAAAGAAAAAACTCGATAATGTTCATCCAGTTTTCATCCACTGTTGGACATACCGTGATGCCGAAGAATGCCAAACAACCAAAGTCAAGGACCCGACCGGTCAAAACGATCGTTCCCTCGAACTCGGGCGCTCGAACCGCGTCAGCATCACACGCTTCAGAGCAATGCAGGCGGCCATCTTTGACCGCACATTTCCCATATGACGCGTCTGGATGAACCAGCAACACCAGCAGAAGCACCGCTACCGCAAAACCAGCCATTACTTGTGTTTTTACTGAAAAATTGAAAAAGATGCACTAGGATCAGATCTGATCCGATTTTGTTAAAGGGTCTAAGGGAAATCACCTTTTCGTTGAAAATTCGGGAACCGAACGGTGAAAATCTACGAAACTCGCAGGAAACCTTCCTCACGTGACCTACAAACGAACGAACCGTTTACTTTTTTGATTTTCATCCGCGTTTCGCGTAAAATTCGATCGTTTCACGTATCTCGCGAACGAAATCCGCGAACGAAAAACGCGAAATTTACCGCGAAAAACGAACCGAAACCGCCGAAAAACATCGAGAATGGGAATTTAAAGTAATTTTAATGAGAACCAAGCGAAAAAACACTCAATTCGAACGAAAATTTGACAAAGTGGATTTTGCAATAGGGCTTAAGGGGGTCAAGAGCACATACCTGCAAGGGGGTGTAAGGTGAACTGAGGTACAGGCATAGCAGTGCCAGACCTCTGCAGCTTCCTGGTGAACCTGAAGAAGTTAGGGGAGGCATGTGTGGTTGTTATTACCACTGTAATTGCTCCCCCATGAGAACGTTTTCCTGTGTAATGTCTTTCAGCATGGCTGAGACGTGATCAGGGGAGGTGTGGGAATCGAACGAAAATTCGATCCTTTTTCCCGCTGACTGAAACACTTTGAGAAAACTTGGTACGCAGGAGCTTTTTCTCGTTTACCAGGGGAGATTTGTAGTCATATTTACGACCACAACACCCTTCACTTTACGCGTGACCCTTTTAAGCTAATGTATTTCCGCTACGCTTGGCTGCGCCTGGCGCGCTAGCAATTATATTTCCCAATCCCGTTGTTGACGGAATTCTTTCTCAACCGCGCTCACGCTTCCTTCCTTTAAAGAAACGAAGCGTGACGTCCCCGATCCGAATCGGCTCTCTATGCGCGTCCCGTGACCGTGGCCAGCTGAGGCTATATATACAGGTGCATTTTATGTTGCTTTAAGTTGATCGCACCAGACCTTGTCCGAACGCTGACTCTACGCCGCTTTGCTCTGTAGAACGTATTGTTATCGACTGTGTGTGAAGATTAATAAATATCATTTTGAAATACTCTCACGGAGTAACTTTTGCGTTTCCTTCGAAAGTCGCGGAAAACGATTTAAATCTCCGATCCCCTTTTTCCTCTAATTATTAGAAAGAGTCCACAACGACAGATCATCGTTGTTTCCTCATTCGTAAAATAGTTTTTGGATAACAGGTTTAAACAGAGGAAATTCTGCCAGATTTTCATGCTGCCAGTGTTGCCATATATAACTGAAGAAAGAGTAAAATTGAATTAAAATTCTTTGAGATGATTTTTAAAGATTGTGCTAACTCTTGCGATTTCGATATCCACAAAAACTGGAAATTCCATAGTGATTTTGATTGTGCAAAAATTTAAATCTTTAACAGCAATTTCAATTTCGATTGTTTGAAACGTTTTGTAACCAATAGCGATTTTGATTGTGCAATTGAAGTTTTGATTTCGATTAACAACCCTGGACCTGACCTGACCTAACCTAACTGAATTTAATCTAACCTAATTCAACATAACCTAACCTATCTACTTACAGTGAATAAACAGAGGAAAATAACAAATTGCGTAATGTTACTGTGAATCTTTTTTAGAATTTGTATGGGGGAATGTCCATCCAAGGAAAGACATTTGATGCGCGGCGTCGGGATCAGGGCGGTCGGGATTTTTCCTGTTCCCGAAAAAACGCTCCACGCTTTGATAATACCGTACATGAGCGACGAGAGATATAGATAGCACCAGCATACATCAATCGTGAACCGATAGCAGTACGTATCGTCCTCCTCAGGTTGGAAGGAGCAACTGAAGAAGAAACCAGAGCAGTGATGAAAGCCTTTGCCAAGTTCCACGCAAACAGCATAGAAATAGCGCGGAAGCACCAATCGAGTCTAGCCGACGGCTCCTCAAGGTTTGCGATGCTGCGCGAGGACCCATTTGACACGGACGCCATGAGGAAGGCCTTCGAGGGCACGTCAGTCTTCGAAACGATGCTGAAGGCATTGCGAGGTTTCCCGGGACAGGCGGAAAACGCAGATAGGCTAGAGCGCCACATGAACAAGGCTTGCGCCGGGAATTACTTGCAATATTTTGGAACGCTGTCGAGATTCGTTGGGAACACGAAACTCGCCGGGTTTCGCCTGGGAGACTGCTGGCTGAATAACATGATGTTCAGGTAAGTTTTTTTTTTTTAGAAGTTGCATTATATTCTGGAAAAAACACTTTTTCAGGATGCGAAGTGTTTCTTTGTATAAAACAGAACGAATGATTTCTGTATAATCATGGGAGTTACCATTGGGACTGAACGAGGGGTCCAACAAAAGTTCTTGGGATATCAAATTGAAATTGCACGTGATTGAGCTGAGAAACAATTATTGACCAAAAAACATTATTAGGCACCAACATTCAGCCCTGTTTGGCATCTTTTTTTTATTTTGTTGAAGCTGTTGCCCTGCCATCTTTCACAGTTCACTCAAAAGATGAGGTGCCCAACTTGACCATGCTTCGGTGTTGCCCAGCTTCTCCTTCAGAATTCTTGAAATCGATGTGGCATTTATTCCGAGGGTTGTCTCTATAGTTCTTCCAAGAGGTAATTCCACCATTTCATTGACAGCTGCCTTCACAGCCGCCAGAATGTTGTACCAAGTGGCGGCTGTTGATGAAAATGGCGGAACAATCATATTTACTCAAGTACCTTGTGCCATTGAGTATTGTGCGCACCCCCATTTTTCCACCAGAAATTAGTTAAAAAATCTATCCTGGTGTAAGACGCAAACCCCAGTTTTTTGTTGCTGCTGAAAATCAAAAAATGGGATATATATTTTGTGTTCATTTTTCCTCATCAAAATTTTGTCTTTCTGTCTTTTTCCATCTACAAAGGCAGTTAAAATACATGTGCAATACAGGACAGCTTCCTCAATTAGATGAATATTACACCCTTCCTTTACTTCCTGTTGCATTTCCAAGGAATGAAACAAATTCAGCCATTATTCCCCATACAGGAAGAGACTTGAGGCAACACTTTTTCCTCTTCATTTTTTTTTACTTGGATGTGAGGGGCACTGGTTTTGGGAATTTCTCTCTAAAATTTGTCCCAAGTACCACGCCCACCCTATTTTTTTGCCTCAACTTTTAGAAAAAAGGTGCGCGTGGTACTCAAGTAAATATGGTAATAATTGATTAAAGGGGAAACCGTTAGAATTGAAGGACACATCAATTTCAAAAATTCTGAAGGGAAAGCTGGGTCACATAAAAAATCTGTGAGATGGGTGCCTCATCTTTTGAACAAAGAGCTGAAAACTAAATGGGTGAATTTTACAAAAGTTTCTTGATGATAATGATGATAAACAAGCTTTATTTTCCACTTTTCAATGTTCACAATGTCCAATCACACCAAAACCCCTCCCCTTTCCACCTACAGCATCCATTGAAATACATTCCATCATATAGCAGTATGAAGAATTTAAATACAGTATGAGCAAAATATGAATATTAAAAGAAAACGAAAATGTATCACAGAACATACAGATGCATAATGATATAAATGCGTACACTTTCCTCCTTTTGGATAACAAAAAGAAAATACTGTATCAGTAATAAAAATTACAGCTTAAGGCAATTACTGAACACAGATTATACAGCACAACATGTTCAGCTTGCTTTCAGCTTGCTTTCAGATGAGGTGAAGTTGATTAAACAAATTGGAGAGAATCTGTGAACAGGAATTGGGCATAGCTAGCAGTTCATCTTAGTCCTCTAAGATTTTCGAAAGAACCTCTTCATCAAATTTTAAGAAGAAATTAAATTTGTTTGAAGCGTACGTCTGTAGCTGTTAAATACTGGCATATGAGAAAATAAGGTGCTTCGGGTAAATTTCTTGAAAAATATGTTTGTCAAACAGGGTGTATAATATCGGCACAGCAGCATATTTATGAGAAACGAATGCACAATATAGAGACTGTTCATTTTTAATGAAAAATTAGTCTTCCGCGGTAATAATCTTATTTTTCTGTGAAAAGTTCAACGTCATGCCGGAAATAAACCGGCGTAGTAGACTCTAAAACTAGCCAGGATTCGTGATCACTTCAATATTCGAAGATTATATCGCCAAGGACTCGGTCTTTTCGTTGGCAGGTGTGACAATTGCAACTCAATTTTGTTGTTTATGAATTATTCAAGCGTGCATTGGCTTCTGCATGTGTTCTCTCTGTTATTGTGGCTGATAGCGGAGAGAGGATAATGGCTTCCTACGCGTAATAGTTGGACAAATAAGAATTAATGTAGTATGAGCGTACCTAAGAGCTTTTCGCGGTTTTATTGAAGTGGTTTATTTATTTATTCGATATACTGTACTAATCTGATACGGTGACTATAAATCCCCTGAGTTGTTCCGCCTGCTAAAAATATCTCGACTGCATTCAACAGGATATATTCTGGGGCTGATTTTTTTTTACACCCAAAATCTTGACAGGGAACTTATAAATCACGAGAGCTTCGAAAGCGAACGTGAAGTTATGTTTATATTGAAACACCCTCTTTCAGAACACTTGCTGCTGGTAATATACTGCATGTATGTACTTCTTCTTGATAACGATTTGCAGGACTTTCACGCCAAGAATTCCCTCGTTACAAAGGTAGAAATTCGTCTTTTTGTTTCTGCTATGAGTAAGCTGGTGTGATTTCCATTCATGCACTACCATGACCCCACATTACATGCTTGAAGGGATTGAAACGTTTCGTGGGAAACAACATTATAAAATTTATGCCGTCACGGCTTAAAAACCCACTTCCTCGAAACGGTTAATTACGCACCAACGCTTCAAAAAAACAAAAGAAAAAGTTCGAGCAATCCAAATACTGTACTGTGCTGCATACGCATGATTCGCACTTACGCAAATACAGCCTGAAAATGTCGTAATTATTTTCCTAAAATATGTAATTAAGAAAAAAGTACCGTAGTATAAGGTAATGAATGACATAACTATAAAAGAGAAAATCAAAATGATGTTCCAAACTGGCTCATTTCCTTTCCAGAATTAATATCACGTACATCTGCCTTGTTTTTTTTCTTCTGTGTACATCGGCCTCATTTCCCACGTTTTTGTCTCAAGTAGAAACATATGAGCCGACACCATATTAGTCTTTCAGCCTGAAATATTGTAGTTCTCCTTATTAAATTCGAATTGCGACCTCGTACGTGTGTAAATACTGTACAACGGTATACGTGATGAGACGTCTGAACACCGCGTAGCGTTGAGCAATCCTCAGCTCAGACTTGTGTCACCATGTGTGCAGTAATATATACATTACATGTACATGCAGGGTAATTAATATGCTCTACTGTGCGTATATACAGTATATACCTCCCCAACCCGAATTTTCTTTGGTCTTTGGGCTATTATTTATTTTATTGACTCAGACAAAAGAAAAACAATAAAAGTAACTTGATGCGTTTCGAAAAGAAATGAGACTACTTGGGCAAATGAACCCTTGCCTTCAAGTAGGTTGTTGACTTATTTAAGAAAGCAATTTGAGGCCCTGACTGTATTTGCGCCTTACAAAAATATCACTAGCAGTTCATTTTTTTTCAAGTGGGTTTGAATTTAAATTTTCACCCAATAAATGCACAGTTTTTTGAATACGAATTTAAACACGTAACAGATGAGAAGTACTGCAATGTGTGTGTATTCTGTTCGAAAATTCTTGGCTGAAAATAAAAAAAAGAAGCGCATCTTACTGAATGGCGCATGAATGATACTCAAGCAAATACGGTACTTCATGTATACGGTATTTGTGCATATACTGTATAGGGATGAGACGAGCGAGGACGGGTCGAAGCGGGTCGCAGCCGTGAAACTCCTGGATCTGCAGGTCGTGCAGTACGGGTCCACCATCGCCGACCTCCAGTACTTCTTCGGCGCGAGTGTCCGCAACGAAGTACTGTCCAAGCGACGCGAGTTGATCCGCGACGAGTACTTCCCCGAACTGATGCGGGTCTTGTCCCTGCTCGGGTCTCCGCTCCCGGACTCGGGCTACTCCTTCGACGACTTCTGGGCGGATTTCCAGCAGCACTCGGAGTTCTGCCTCGTGTCCGCCATGTTTGTGCTTCCGATCGTCATGGCGCAGGCCAGTACCATCCCGGACTACGACACCGGCGAGGACCTCAGTTGGGAGGCCATCAAGAACGTGGCCAAGGACGCCGTGCAGGCAGACTGTGGTCGAATCGCTGCTCGTTTCGCCCACTTGGTCGGCATCATGGTTCAAGAACAAGTGATTTGAACCCTTAGCACTGAAGCTAAAAAAAAAAGAAAAAAAAATATTAATGGTATACTTTGTGGTGAGAAAGAAAGAGTGAGAGAGAGAGAGAGACTTGTAATCTGCATTGCGATTTTTAAAATTTAGAAAAGGGGATATGTAGTTATTTCACCGCGGTTAACTAGACAGTTACATTTACAGTACAGTACATTCTAGGGATATACTTTGTTCACTCGAGAACCAAATCATATCCTAAAGTGAGATTTGCACCTTTTTTTTCTGGGAACCAAATTGGCCCAAAAGCCTACCCCTGCATAAGACCAGCAACCCAGTTTTTGTTTTTTTTTGTTGGCTGAAAATCGAAATTCTTTTATAAAATATTACTGTATTTACTTGTGTACCATGCATACCTTTTTTAATTTAAAGAGAGAAAACAAAGACGTGCATCTCATAGGCAGGTACTGTATAACATTAAAAATGTAAGCTTTGGTGCACCTTGTACAGTGCTTGGTTCCAAGCTTCAATCAGAGCATTTTAAACCAATTTACAAAGACAATATAAAATGGAAATGATGAAAAATGTGTATTCAATTTGACTAGCATTCCAGTCCAAATTCAAAATTTCATGCGTTTTATTTCAAAAAATTTAAATTTCAGTCTTGAAAAATGGGATGCATGTCTTATATTCAGCAATAAATTTTATCCAAATTTTGAGTAGAAAAATATGGGTGCATACCTTACTCAAGGGCGCATGGCGCTCGAGTACTGTAAATGCATTAATTTCATGATTTTTCACAACCTTATGAATACATCAAAGAATATGAATAATTCGATTAGAATAGGTTGTCATATACAGTTTTACATTCATTTTTTCCACCCAACACAAACTTCTGACTTGAACCAATGTTTTTTCATGACTTCTTCTTATTCTGTGAAAAATACATAAACCGCATACCAAACATGCCGCACTTTTTTTTGCCTTGCTTTCCCAGAAAAAAGTGCGCGTGTTACCCAGGTCAATAAAATACTGTACGTGGACTTAAAGAGACTAAAATAAAAGTTTTTAAATATACATTTGAGCTAGTGAAAGAGGAGCAGAAAATGCTTGATGAAATGTTGGGAATGAAAAATTGAGGCTGAAAAATATTGCTACAACTGTGTGAAATGAAATTGAGTTTTCTTTTTGGGACCAATGAAGAATGGACTTCTATTGTGTGTGGCTCATCGAAAAAAAAATTATTGTGCGTATGGACATGTCCATGGGAATGCTCCAAAGTTTTCCGAATATCGTGAAATGAAGTTCTTTGGGTAACCCAGTTCTTTTTTTAGTCTGAATATTTCAAACCACTGCGGGATTTGTCGGCAAAACATGGAGCATGCCTCATCCACATTGCTGAAGACAGCAATGTGTATTTTCAATCTCAACATGGAATTGCGTCCCTGGTCATATTCGTCAACCTCCACTTTCATCATCACTTATTCAAAAATTTCCATCATGAAAAACTTTTTAAATTGCTAAATGAGTGCTATAGGTTTGTAAAAGTGTCACAGGAGAGGATTGAAAAAGTTTGAAGTACCCAGATGACAGAAAATTCTAGCAGCTAGTGGGAGACGATAAATTATTAATCGGCGAACAGTGAACACTCATCCGATAAAGTTTAAAAGTGTCAGGGAATTTTAATTAAAACAGTTTACAAAGAATGCACCCATTTGAAAATTTATAGAAGGATTGCATTGCATCTCTTATATGAAATTTAGAAAACTATTTATTGAAATAGTACATTTCATATAATAAAATGCTCAACAGTACGTTATCTGTTTTATATGATGGACATCTGTAGTTCGATTTTTCACTCTACGCTGATTTTAGGCAGAAAGTTGATGTTGCTGGGCAAAGCCAACATTTGAAAAAGAATTTAGACAATAACTTTATATTAACAACAGTTTTATTTCACAACAATCCCCAAGATGAGAGGGAACCTTCAGATTTCACAGCTAAGAATGGTCTGATTCTTTCTACACAGAATTCACCATTCTAATACTCAGAAACCAAAAATCATCAAGAAAATAAAACCTCCCATTTCAAGAAAACCAGTCAGTCACAAAACCTGGTCCCTATACTGCCTCTAAGTTGGCATCCATGGGTGAGCAAACCATGCACAAAAATAAGACTCCTTTCCCTTTCCTTTCCTGTCTAAAAATGAAAGGAAAACATGCAGCAAGCCCAGGTTTGAACACTCTAAAACAATTTGAGAATCTTCTAGCCCTTTTCTGGGCTTTCAGCATATTGTTTTCTGCATCTCAAATAAACTGGTTCAGCTCACGGGTAAAACAACCGGATTGTTTGCTGGATAAAATTTGCTTCCCTGAAATCGCAGAGGAATTGCTCAGGTAATTTCTGCCACAGACATCAAATCACCTTGAACGAAAGAAACGAGGTTTCTTCGAGTGCAGGACAATTTAGAAACCGGCTTTTCATGCCTAAGCTTTGAAGAGCGATTAAGATTAGTGTTTGCTGCTGCTGCTGCTGGTTCTTCTAGAAGTGCAAATTGCCCATGCAAAAATCGCGGGTAACCTTCTCTTCTACTGTATACGTACGTATATTTGGCACCAGAACTCCGAGAACCACTGAAGCTGTCGGAAGCATGAGTTCTGCAAATACGAATACGTGTGCATACCTTTCGATACTGTGACCCAAAATGAGTCTTCCCCCCCCCCAAATATATCAGTCAGTGTACTTGGAATCACTGCCCTGCGAACTAGAGCATGCCTCTAAGAATTGTGCTTTCTACAGTGATGCAATTTTTCGTGAGATATTTCTGCTGCTTATAGTACTGTATATGCTGTATAAATATTGAAGTCCTATAATTTTTAGGTGATCTACTTCCGAAAAAAAATCCTGGCTGCCTTGCATTCTCGAACATTGCTGAACAAGGAAAAATAAGAGAGTATTTCCTTGTACAGTACAAGCGTTTTTTTTTGTGTGTGGTTAGATAAGTGTGCTAAAACAGTGTTGCCCAAACTTTTCAGGCTTGCGGACCAGAAAGTTGTAATACAATTTTGCGGCGACTGGCATATTTTTTTTTTACAACTTTCTGTGGACTGGCAACTTTTCATACCATTATCGACAACCAACAGAATAATTCAAGTACAATACAGCACTTGCCAGCATACAGTCCTCAGAAAGAAATGTTGTAAAACTTGAGTTATAGGAACCAGCAATGAAGCAGCTATTTAGTGGAATGCCTTGAAAAAATAGAAAGCTTGGCTTCAAGAAAGGTTTCTCAGATTGAAAACTTGAAATAATATATTTCAGCAGGTGAAAACATGTCTGAAAAGCTTTCAGGAGAAACGCCACTTTTATTATTCCTCAGAAAATTCCAACTGACATTGTCTTTTCGAAATTGTCAATTACGCTAACAGACTCAATTACTGTACTTTTAATAAATGTATTTTGAGGAGGAAATTTTCCCGTGAACCGGCAAAAAACTTCAGCTGACCGGCGCCGGTCCGCTGATTAAGCTAAAAACTTTTGTGCAAGAGCTAATGAAGGGGATTTTTTTTATTCAGGTTTGTTATCCTGTGGAAGTTGGACTTGAAAATACAGAACCGCAATCGCATTGTGAAGTTTTTGTCGTTGTTTTGTCTTGCTCATCAGTTTAATACTCAACCTTCTCGGTATAGACAAGAAACATGAAGTTCGTTCCGACAACGCATTGTTCTTTCAACTGTAATATTCTCCACTGAGAGGGGATTTGTAAAGTACATTTTAAAATATTAAAAACAAAATTATTTACGTTTAATCAGCGTTGATTTGCTCGGCGATTTCCTCTTCCGTATACAGTAGTGAACAACTATATTTCTAGAACTAAATTGTCAATCCTATTTTTTGCGTTGAACTTCAAACGATTGCTGAAGCCCGTAAAATAAATTGAAACAGCCCGGACATTTCGAAAAACTAGAAAAATGTTAATTCCACTTTAGATAAAGTTTGGTTTTGTCACATCATTGAATCAGACATGTACCGAATAATGGCTGAAGATAATTCACGAGTCCTCGTTAAAATTAAATTGCGTTTATTCTTGTGAAGGAGAGCGGTACGTCAGAAACTGGTTTCCAACATTATCAACAAGTTCTAAGTTCACATTGAAATTTCGCAGTCCATGAATCCACAGATTTGAGGCTGATATTTTATAATTCTATCCAAATATATGCTCTTTTCTTGTGCAAATATATTCCTATTTTCCCTTATTTTTTGCGATCTTCTTCTGGAATAAACTTGGTTCCTCGGAAAATGACTCATGAAAACATTATTTTTACGCCCCCCTCCCCCAACTGCACACGACATTCAGATCTTTTTCAGCTTTCCCATGAACTCCCATTTTCTGAGATGTTTACGCGAACAACGAATTTTCATCAACAACATGAAAATAAAGGGGATGGAACGAATGCTTCTGTTTATGACCATGGTATTCGCCCTATTACTAACGTTACATCAACTATTCCAAGATCCCGCGAAAATACGGCAGCCAGCGATGACTCACGTTTCCAAACAAAATTGTCAAGTCTATACATTGTACTTCGTCATCCGATCCCAGCGATAAACCTGTGCGAGGCAATAATGCCAGTGTTTGTACCCAAAGGCTTCGTGATTCCGCTGATTCATTCCTGAAACGCCGCAAATCCCATCTGGATTCCTCAGAAGGAATTTACTGTACTGGAGTCTCTTTCAGTAGTGTATGTGGCATAGAATATGAGGGGCCTAACAAAATTTCTCAAATAAAAACTGGAATGACATATGATTGAGCTAAAAAGGAGTTTGTTCGGGAGAAGAGGAAGGGCCCTATTGCGCAAAAAAAATCTGCCCTGTTTTATATATAGTATTTTGGGGAAAATTTATGCAGAACTGACCTCTGACCTCTTTCTGCTCTTCGCTCAAAAGATGAAATGCCAATCTTGCAGATTTTTTGGTGCACTAGCCCAGCTTCTCCCTCAGAATTCTTGACATTGACATGGAATTAATTTCAAGGATTGCTACCAATGATTCCTGTTAATTTCACAATGGTTATTAACTCATTTATTGTGGTGAAGCCAGGATGTATTTGCACAATTTTG